TCAATTCCTACTTAATGGAATGGTGAATTACACTTACATTTCAAACAAATTGAAACTTGCGTTTCTTTTGCAGCTCAGTTTATTACATATACATCACATTCAGAGAGTTTTGAAGTATGTGACACTATAAATGAGCCGTATGTAGACAATTCAAAAATAATTATAAGTTCTCGCTGTTTGGTTATAGGTGGAGGAATTAGAAATGAGGCATGGGAACTTAACCGTTTATGTTTATGTCACTTTATTGTATTTCAGGGTGATCAAAATACAGCTGTAGTTTCTTTGAATTAATAAAGACGATGAAATTTATTAACTGAAGAACTTCACCTACATGAACCCAATTCGCTCCTACCCAAAGATAGAGGAGACGCACGTGACAGTAAAGCACCTTGGTACCTCAATGTAGTAACTGAACCATTCCATAGTCAATGGTGTAATCTAAGCAAATTAAAGGATGCAGTCAAACGTTCGTCTAATCAAAGCTGAAAATAGTACGCAGTTAAACGCTGGTCTAGCCATATATAGTGAACTTCTTTGGATGGCATTTAGAAGTTGGTGTGCTTAACAACGGGGAAAGTTATATGGATATACAACTCCTTTATTATAATGTATGCGACATTTTGGTCCGCCAATTTCAAACCTGTTCTGCCATCAAAATATCTATCAAAACCCATCTTTTCCGCCATGTTTTCTTCTGACAAAAGTTAGATAATAGACATGTTATACCAACAACTGGTTTTCTACAATATATTGTTACCCTCCGCCGCCATTTTGACTATATGTAATAATTGGTGTGTGTGATATGTACTCTTATACCACCATTGGTGGTCAATTGAGAATAAAAGTAAAGTAAAGGCTACAGCTGGACATGGTCGCATAGGTTTTGAAAAAGTGATTGGTTACGCGTGTATCCAATTAACCTTTCGTAACATTTTCGTTTCCAGAGGAGGACTTGAAACTCGTTCAATATATGGAACTATCTACCTGTATCATCTTGTTTATAACTTGGTCAACTCATGTCAAAACGATTCAAATCGAATGAGAGCAATATAGGTGACATTCACTGGGATGCAGACAAATGAGTAAAGGGCGTCAAATCTGCCTGATTTTACGATATATAAATGAACAGATTCAAGAATCTGCATATTTACAGGTGCAGTTGCATGGACATTTCCGAATAATACTGAGTCTAATGTATATCTTTTTTGGTAAAAGTACATGTTATTTCGAGTTACAGTATATATTGGACAAGTAAAGAAAAAGTGAAAACTATCCTCATTTGCTAGTCCACATGAGCATATCGGACTTTCTAAAATGTATGTTTCATATTGTGAGCATTGAGGTCACTGCAGCCAAATAAACCCTCCTACACATCTACAAAACATTTATCATGTACACACTGGAGTGAGTCGCTCCCGTCCTTCTCTATCCCCAACTAAACTCCTAACAATATATATATAAAGCCATAGGTGCAAAGACTAGCACCTACTAGATAGTAGTTACTAGAAGAAACCAAATTACTCAATAACTACCAGACTGGGTCTGAAAACAAAATATCAAAACACCAAACAAAAAAAGCACCCTTAAATTCAGAATAAACCCTTTACAACATCCCTATCCAGCCACACATTACAGTGTAAACTCGATTATCCAGACTAACTCACAATGTCAAGGCCACACACCGCACGTTTTACAACCAAAACATAAACACCGTACCCTGCCTCCCCAGCCCTACTTTTTAACATTTAACCCCTTTTCATCTATTTAGTAGACTCCTTATTAGCTTATCAGCAACAGTTGAACTGTTCTGCACAATAAGTCACAATATACTTTACACTACTTACTTAGTTGAACTTATACGCAATCAAGTTCCCAACCCTCTTACGTCCAACTTCTCAACTCCCCATCTAAACTAAATTATCTTCAATATACAGGTGTTTTATGATATAGTGCTTTATTCCCCAAATAATAATTATATTACGTTTTTGGAAAACACACCTATCACGTCGGTCGATGACTTGTGGCACTGTCTCAAGAAGATAGTTGGGACATGGGGACAGACAGACATATAAGTATGTAGACAAGCCATTCTTGTAGAAGTATGGGAGACGATGGCACATACATTTAGAACAATACCCTTTTCACATAATAGTGGAAATATATATGTGTGAAATAGGCACACATAAAAAGACCAGATGAAAGGCACAGGGTGTATGAAATTCCATCACTGATACAATAAAGCCCGACGGGGAGTTCGTTTGGTTGGTTTGTTGTTTAACACCGGACTGAAACACGATGTTACAGAGTATATTCTTATCCTTCATCAGGTAAATGAAGAGACTAGAAACTAGGAAGAGAAAGCTAAAGACGTACATTTGAAACTACAGTGATAAGATAACAAGGGAAGCCAGTACTTAATTAACGCTAAATTGGTAGGGTGGATGGACAAATGGAAGCCAGGGATTGTTAATCCCGGCATGAATAATGAGATAACAATGGTAGCATTTAACAAGGGAAATGACAATAAAGAAATGCAAGCCAGGAATTAATCCAAGCCTAATTAGTGATTAGTGATAAATTAAATGATTGTTATCCTTTTTACAGAGTTTTTAAGAGCGCTCATTTATTTCAACGAAAACACACTCGGTTTCTGGTGTTATTGTTCGATTATTGTTTGGACAAGTCAAAGGATTAATTACAAAAATGCCACAGAATTCGAAAGCATGTTCATTTTGTTTCTATACGATTAAACCAAATGACAATAAAGCCTCCCGTTGGATTAAATCATACGCAGGTTAGACGTCATGTGCAGACAGGGCAGAATTATGTGAAATATCGCTTTCTCGCTCTATCGCTTTCTCGCTCTATCGCTTTCTCGCTCTATCGCTTTCTCGCTTTCTCGCCTTGGTATATCGCTTTCTCGCCTTGGTATATCGCTTTCTCGCTTTCTCGCGTAATGGTATCGCTTTCTCGTCTCGTGCTATCGCTTTCTCGTCTCGTGTTATCGCTTTCTCATCTCGCGTAATCGCTTTCTCGTCTCGCGTTATCGCTTTCTCGTCTCGTGCTATCGCTTTCTCGTCTCGTGTTATCGCTTCTCGTCTCGTGATATCGCTTTCTCGCTTTCTCGCCTCCGAATTTTAAGGCGAGAAAGCGATGGCCCTAATCAGCCACCATAGATCAGAGATGCATTTTAGAATCGTGTTAATCATTTGTCCCTATTTTCTCATCTTTAACAATTCTCCATCACACTGGTATCCTATAAATATTTTGCAACTTGAAGGATCAGTACAGAACCAATTAAAGACCTATCGTAATTTTAATGTTTACTTTTAATACAGCTAATTTCATGTAACAAAGTGTTGTATAGGTGGAAAAAAGAAAGAAAAGTCGGCCATTTTGTTTTTCTTTTGAGCACTTTTCTGCGGGTGACCTTCTTAATTTAAAGAGTTTGAATTTGATGATTAATGAGTATTATATTAATCTTTTGTATGTAACATTAATGTATTAGAGTTTTACTTGCACACGTCTATTAGACAATGCTTGCTAAGTCTAAATAGTAATTTATACATTTAATAACTAATAAGAGCATGGTATCCTTATAAAAGACCGGCGTCCCGAGATTTACTATCTGTATCTAGACTTGCCTGTCGTAAGGATATTCTGACTACACAATGGGCTTATCATTCAGTATAGTTTTAGAGCAAAGTGTGAGATAATGGATGGGAATTTTGTGTGTGTCTTATTGAATACGAGTGCGAGTATGGTTGTTCGCCACTTTTAGCAATATTCCAGCAATGTCACAGCGGGGAACACGAGAAATGGGCTTCACACATTGTACCCATGTGGGAATCGAACCCGGGTCTTCGGCGTGACGAGTGAACGCTTTAACGACTAGGCTACCGCCCTCTTATTGAATGAATGTGAAGAAATGCAAAAGGATAATCCGTTAAACCTATCATTACAGCATCAATGTTAAAGAAAACACATGTAACGTCAAGAGATTTTAATTTACTCTCAGCAAATATGAAAAATATGTCTTTACATATACATATATAACCTTTATTCAGAATGTCCAAAGTCAGTCATGGTGTGCCTTCCTGACACATCTAGGACCGACTATTAAATATGAATATAATGTTATATAATTACACCTTTATTACATGGCATCAAAATAGGATTTTTCAAATTCTGAGGCAAAATTTTGCATCATCAATCCCTAATACAGAATCACGGTTATTGTAAGGTCAACGGCAGTATTTTGAAGAATGCAACATTTGTACATATATGGACGCTCATTCATTCAAATACATTGTTATCGTAATGTGTATATATACAATAACGATAAAATATTCAGGCACATTCAAGTAATATATATATACATATATTTAATTGCATTTAATTATACAATATGGTCATAATTTTAGTTATTTATCAGTCATTTAAACATGTGTTAGGAAATGTACATTGATACTTGTGTAGAAGGCAAGGATGGTCCCGTGGATAAAGTGCTTCCACTATATTGACGCTGAAACGCATCCTGTACATACAGTAGCCATCGAAGGTTCGAATCCCATTTCTACCTTGTCATGAATCTTTGTCTGTCATCATTTCCAAGTACTTAACACAATCATAAAAACCCCATAAAGCTGACACCCTTGTAGCGAAACTAAGTTGACAACCGGAGTAAACATGGCACCTTGATGGTGTCCAGCAGCCATCTAGCTGGAATATTGCCCTGTGCGACGTTAAACAACAAACAAACACACATCGTGTGTAGATAATTTGGCACATAAGTCATTAAAGCAACAATATCGAGTGGTCCATGTTTCAAGAAGAGGGACCCGTGAAGATTCGGGTTAAAATCAATCTTCAGTAACCAATGCATGTCGTAAGAGGAGACTAACGGGATCGGGTCGTCAGGCTTGCTGACTTTGTTGACGCATGTCATCGTATCCCAATTGCGTAGATCGATGCTCATGCTGTTGACCACTGGATTGTCTGGTCCAGACTCGATTATTTACAGACCGCCGCCATTTAGCAGGATGACTGCTAAGTGCGGCGTAAAACAAAACCCACTCACTCACTCATTCCAAGAAGAAGAGACGGATACTATGAATCAGGATGTTGTGGTATACCTCCCGACTGACATCGCCGTCTACACTGTACCACCCTTTCTCCCATGACGGCGGTGAACGCCATGAAGATACCAATCACCAGGATATAGAACGCACTCTGCAGGTCCCCCAGCGTCATGGCTCGTGTTGCCATTTTCTTCCCATCCGAACATGCATCCTCTCCTCGCCACCATTTTTTCTTCCAGGCCACAAACAAACCTTCTTCGGAGAATGACACTAACCTGTGCGTAAAAACAACATAGACGTTGAGAAAACTCATTTTTACATATTTAGATTTGAATTTATGATCTGCAGTCAAAACTGAAAGGATCTGCAAAAATACTTCGAGTTACCCGAGTTTCGAGAAAAACGCCCAAAGATGACTGAAGATGCATTACGTTGTGTAAAGCCTTTACTTCGAGGCAATTCGACATATAAAGTTCGATACAACGGTGTTTGACTGGACTTAATGATTGATGTTGTATTTTGTCATACAGTACTATTTATCAGAGTCTGGATAATTGCAAAATATATCGTATGACCTTGTGAGGTGAGGTGAAATTGGGTTTAACGTCGTACTTGAGAATATTTCGCTCACATGACGACGTGCATGCGTGTGTATGTGTATGTGCGGCTGCTTGTACTAGCCCAGACTTAAGCTGGTTTTATAGTGCTAGCCTACTGAGATACCATGCCGCAGTGAAGCATGAATACCCCACTCAGACACATTATACTGACTCCGAGCCGACCAGTCCTTGTTGTACCCATTAATGCCAAGCGCCAGTCAGGGACCAACAAGTACCATATTTTAACGTCTTTTGGTATGACACTGTCGGGGATCGAACCCGCGACCTTCCGTTATGACCATGTGTTTGCCTGGGAAGCCGATTAGTGTTACATGCACGCACGCACAAACACACACACACACGCACGCACATACATTCATGCATATTATGAACGGATGAACCAGCCTGTAAGTTATCAGCCACAGTGCTGTCCTAGCATATTGATAATGACCTCATGTTTCCAAGCAACGGATCATTTTTCAGTCGTCCTGTGCAAATTTGCAACCTGACGTAAAGCGAACGACATTCATGCATGAACCCTGCAAGTTGGTCGCTTGTAAGGACAAGCATATGATTCTGAAGATAAATTATCCGGGAAAATCCAGAATGTAAAATCAGATAAACAGTATCCTGAATGAACACTGTTGTATGCTGTTATGTTTATACTGATATATACCGAAGACCACGTTTATAATGACCACGCTTAAAACGATCTGACGGATATAACGAATTGTTTGGGTTCCTGACCTTTGCTATTTATTTCAGTTTTGATGTGTAAAACGAACTACGATTATAAGGAACTAATATTGGCACTTCCATGGAGTTCGCTATAACCGTAGTATACTGAACACAGACCATGATTTAGTCAAAGACACAGTCTCAGTACAATGTAAAGAACAATGTGACAATACGTAGACAGATCCATACTTGAAGTGATTTTGGTTTTACGCCGCTTTTAGCAATATTCCAGCAATATCACGGCGGGGGACACCAAAAATGGACTTCACACATTGTACCCATCTGGGGAATCGAACCCGGGTCCTCGGCGTGAGGAGCCAACGCTTTAACCCCCACCGCCCAAAATTGATACGAAGAGTTAAATGCAATGTACTGTATCTTACTCACTGTTCAGAGAAAAGTTTCGTGTAAGGAGAGTCAATCGGCAATCCTATTCCATATCGTACTTGATAAACGGAATCCTCCAGCAACCTCAAGTCACAGTTTTCACGGGCCCAGCCCTTTAACATGTCCGCTTCCACAAAAAATATGTATTTGCCAGCCTCAACCTTTCTGCGGTGCAAATATTCATCCGTGTGGAGTACAGTTGGGTCCGTTTGGTTGAAGGTTCTAATTCCGCTCCATATTGCTTTATAATCACTGGATTTACCAAACTGCAAAATAATGCGAGTCAGTGAAAACTTAGTAATGGATTAATATAAAGATATTAACATCACTAAGTAATAAGTCTCCATTATCCGCCAAAACAATTGCTACTAGACGTGATGAAAAATGGTATTAAAATATTAAAAATCGATAAAAAATCATCGGTGACACCAGGTTTTCGGGACTAGGGTAAGAATGCCCTGCCCTGCTGGTAGCACCATCCATCCACAACATCTGTAAGTATTGGGTTTTGCCTGACGATGCACAGCAGTTCTCCAAACAAGACAATCAAGTGATGGATCAGAAAATTCGTGATTAGTGAATTAAATGTTTTTGGATCAGTCCTTCTGTTTGTGTTCCAACTTCGCTAACAAGCTGTTATTCACTATCTCACTTTGCTTTGCATTGGTCGACAGAAGCTAGCTGTTTGACTAGCACGTTTAGAAGTCGGTTTCCAACCGTAAATCAAGACATGTTTTTAAACGACGTTTCGGTATAGATCCTTGTACCGTTGTTAAGCGAGGGTTTTAAGGCCGTAATGGTATGGATCTATGTGACGTTGTGACGAAACACTGAAGTAAGACAATACAGTTCAGGGTCCCGATCCACAAAGCGTTCGTAGCGCTACGACATTCGTAAGCCTATGGTAAACTATAGAGTTACGACATGTCGTAACCTTACGAACACTTTGTGGATCGGGACCCAGGCTTGTAAACTTCTACTAAAACAATAATAAATGATAATAGTTGGTACAGACTGTAGATATAGTAACAATGGAAAGAAGCCCACTGTACATAACGAGATACAAAGGTGCTGATTCTTTAGAGATGATGGCTTTAGTGGTTTGTTGCTTCATTAACTCATTGTAGATACTTGGGATTGGGTATGTTTGGTCCCTGTTAAAAACTTTGTGTCCGAGGATTTCAACTGTTCTTGCTCGTTACCGTTTCGTGAAATGGCGATTGTATGACAGGATTTGTGCATTGCTCTTGTTGACGCAGTTAGGTTTGTTGATGATGTACTCTGAGGCGCATTTGGGTGTCCTGATTTGTAGGTATATGTAACATGTTACATGTTCCTTTATTCTGACGTCTATTTGCTTGGGAAGTTTCACCAACAAATGCACAGCAGCAGTCGCATCCAATGTAGAAGACAACACCCAGAGATTCGTGTTTGCTTTGGGTGTACTACGAGTGATTAGTCTGTCATACAGATCTTGAAACAAACATACCCAATGCAGCCCATGCAAGTTTAGACTATGTGGCAAATCCAGATTACCACAAATGAAGATAGTCTCTAGGCTCATTTTTATCATATTTTTTTATATATAATTTAGGAACTGTCTTTTGCTGTAAAATATGTTCATTTCAGAGAAATGATGTTAGTCTAGCCTGTAAAGTTTTAAGTTTTGAAAGCTGGCACAGTATGATTCAATGCCATCTTGCTGCTTTCGGAGGCGGTAGACGTGGTGGTGGTGGTGGTGGTGGTGGTGGTGTGTGTGTGTGTGTGTGTGTGTGTGTGTGTGTGTGTGTGTGTGTGTGTGTGTGTGTGTGTGTGTGTGTGTGTGTGTGTGTGTGTGTGTGTCTGTGTGTGGTCTTTCGCTGTGTGTGTGTGTGTGTGGTCTTTCGGTAAGAGGGAGGTTGGTATTGGTGCTGGTTCAGGTCTTGCGGTGGCAAGTTTAGATGCTGGTGTTGATGATGTTGTCGACTAACATTTGTTGAACTGGATAACCATGGCAGATATGCTCATTTTTACTTGCTCGACAACGTACTACGGATCTTTACAGAAACGTGGCATCAAAATAGAATAAAAAGGTTGTCATTCATAAAATGCCCTCACAACGACTGAATCGTACGTAAAATATCGGTATCGTAAAATAGTTCGAAATTCAGGGGAAATAACTCTTCCAAACCTACGCTCACGTCAACGATTTTTTTCTTTCATGAATTTTCTTCATGTGACGATATGCTACTCAAAATATGTTACAGAAAACCCGGTCTGGTCCTTTCTAAAGAAACCTAACTTCCTCTGGGTAGTATAAACTGACGCCAAATACAGCCCAACATCACCAATTAACATTCTGTGAACAAGGAAATACACTCATACTCACCTCGAATATATTCACCCAAAACGAGCCCCCTTGTGTGCCCCATTTGTACTCGCTTTGAGCAGCTACTTCCGGTATTGTACGGAAAGGCAGTGTTTCCTTGGATACCGCAAAGAATGCCATCATGTTTCCGCAGTAAATAGCAGTAGTGACGGTACCAAACAGCCATACGAAGCTGATGAAGAAGCTGGTTGCTAGGGATGTCGATTTCACGTCGTAGCCTGTAGAGTAGCGGGAGTTGACGTTAAACTAGGTGGTGCAGTTTAATGTCAACGGGTTTGAACAGCATTTCAGTCGTATCATGGCATGTCAACTTGACTTGGCTGGTCAAGTGTCTGCTTGAGTTTTGTTTAACGCCGCACTCAGCAATATTCCAGCTATATGGCAGCTGTCTGTAAATAATCGAGTCTGGACCATACAATCCAGTGACTAACAACATGAGCATCGTTCTACGCAATTGGGATACGATGACATGTGTCAACCAAGTCAGCGAGCCTGACCACCCGATCCCGTTAGTCGCCTCTTACGACAAGCATGGGTTACTGAAGATCAATTCTAACCCGGATCTTCAAGGGTACAGCCGGATGTGATGATGGTTTATCGCTTTTGCGAAACCCACGAACAAGGTTTTGAACAAATCAAGAAAAATGGTTATGGCAGACCGAGATATTAGTTCCATGATCAAAGGTTTCCTGGTATTTCTAAGACACACCTGTGCATAGGAAATTCCAGTGCCTTCGACAAAGAAGACTGTGTTCACTCTTTTGAATAACAGGACAATATATTAAATGTAAAATATAGTTTTCTTGAACACAAATTGTATTGTATTGTTATTATTGAAGATATATGTATTCATAAAAGATATTTCCTGGTCAGACCTTTGGCAGCCGTTTCAGTTTTTCAAAATCTTTAGAAAATATTTATGACAGGAAAGTTACTGCGTAGCTGAACATGGCCGAAACTGCCTCGTTAATTCACCCAATATATACAGAAGTTTAAATCTTGGGTTTCAAGAGAGTGAGGAGAATGATGCTATATTCCATCGTAGGCAAGTAAATATACACCCGACTGTGAGCATTGCAACTGTCATTGCTGTCGGTTTACGATACCACAAAATCAACTACTACTCGAGACGATGTTACACCCCCAATCCTTTTAGTCAAATAGGCACCGGTGGTCCAGTTCGTCCAAAGCGCCGCCATTTGCTGTGCAGGGCTATGTCCTTTGAGCAGGCCAGAAACCTTTGATAGTGGGGTTTTCAGCACCATAACCCTGCTTATCGTTTTCACCAAAGCGATCATAAACATCTGACACATGCATCAACCCTTTTTTTTGTTCCGCATTAATCATAATAGTTCCATTAATTTTACTTTAGACATCAAACCATGACTATGTCCAGCTTTGTTGTAAGGGAGGCATGCATGTTTTGCATCCTATGCGAGAATCACGATCTCTATGTGAATATGAAGACGAATATAATAACAGCTCGACATACCTTGAAACCGCATTATGGAATTCTGGAAGTCAGTTTTTAGCACACTTCAGAAAACAAAGAGGCCTGAAGGCATGCAACATTGATATAATGCTGACTGTATATATCCTCAATCATATAAGTTTCCAGTCACTCATTACGCATTACGAGTCAAAATCCACAATGCGTTTTCAAATTGTTTGAGTATTCAAATAGAGCCTGTATTTTCTCTTCAAAGTAAATTCTTTAAACAATAGAGTTTTACTTCTCAATCAGCCACTCTCCATGTCGAATCAGACCTTAAGATTCGAGTTGATGAGTGGATAGTTTCTGAAGCTGATATAGAGTTTCTCGATGTGAATTACGAATTGTCCATGCGTACTCACTGTATCGTATAAACATTCCCCAGATCAGTAGTGTGGTGTCTCCCAAATCCACGCCGGTCTTCGGCTTGTGTCTGTTGGCCCACTGGAGACAGTAGAGTAGAGTCACCGAGAACACAAAGGCAATGGCCATACACATGTGTACTTGCCACGTGAAAGGAAAGAACAGGATCTTCCATTGGGTGGACTCCGCACTCGGGATGCGGTACACGCCCACACCCTTATCGTACCCAAACGGGTAGGTGAAGTCCATCACTTTCAGACGAGATGACGAGATGGTCAGTGCCGCCACTGTTAGGTCAATTTGCTGAAAGTATCGACATGATGAGAATATTAATTTTTAAAAACAGTTACTGAAAAGTGAAAGTGTTTAAATGAACTGTTATAAGTGATTTTACGCCACCTTTAGCGATTTTCCAGCAATGTCACAGCGGGGACAACAGAAATTGGCTTCACACATTGTACCCGTCTGGAGAGTCGAACCCGGGTCTTCGGTGTGACGAGCAATCGCTTTCACTACTAGGCTATTCTACCGCACCAATTATGGACTTTAAATCAGTTTCCAGATAGGATCTGGGCCCGGTTGTTCAAAACTCGGTTATCTTTTAACCAGCCGTTAAGTACATTCAACCGACTGTTAACTAATAACAAAGGGTTATCTTCTTGTTCAAAACTCTGTTAACTTTTAACAGGTTGTTAACGTGACGTTACGTTAACACACCTAAGGACCTCCGCTAACTTTTTAACAGTGTGGTTAACTCGCAAATGGCGTTCATGGCTAACACTGCTTTCATGATGCCAGTTCAGCAAAGAAAGGATAGGGTGTATCGTGGACTGGACTTCGATATTGGAAATTATTCTGACGAAGAGTTACATACGAAACTGTAACTATGCACATCATAGGAACTAAAATACATGTTGTACAAGTACATGATGCCTACGTTTCATCTTTTAACACTTGTGTAAAGGTTTATATATGCTTTACTACACTAACTGTGTGAATTTCTTCTGTAAGTATTATTAAAACAAACACTTTCAAAGAATAAAACACGCACACGCTATACCCACGTATGATATGATATTGAACAAGGCTAAATGTAGATAATTAAATTAGTTTCATGAAACAATATCCGAACGATTACATTATGATACTGAAAGTGAAATCGGCGGGATATGGTGATTGTGTATACTCCATATTCTACCGACCTTCACCTCAGAGAAATTGCCAAATATGTACAACAATGTTGACGTATGGCATCACTACCGTTGAGATTTCTTGAAAAATGGCGGCTGACATGGGTTTTCCGAGGACCCTTCCCTTGATCGGTTGTACATAAATATGAAATGTAAGTAATCAGAATGATTCTGGCTATCTGTGTATTGTTACATGTTTTTATCGTTTTCATTTAAGAAAGAGAAGAAGCCAGAAATGCCGATTATTACCGTTGTCGTTCTGCGTGATTTTGCGTCAGTCACGGCGTCACGCTGCACAGAAACTTGACAGTTTTCGTATAAACACATCACATTCCTGTATTGTATCTATTTTTAATTTCCTATTTCTTGCTACTATGCTCTTTCCATGCAAATGGGTGTCTGCAAATTTGAAAAAATGCTACACAGTGTAAAGTCTGAAATTTTCTTTGTTTACTTTTCAAACAGGTGTTGTCTTTCGAGCACAGCATTTGTTTCCACCCCAATATCTTTCGTTTCAGTTTATCTAGACACTTGGCATTGGTGACAAAGACCAGTTGTAATTAGAATCTAAAATGCATGAGGAATTCAGTAGGGATGGGACGAGTAGGAAAAAATGGAATCGAGTACCCGCATGTACCTACCCGAATCGGAATCGAGTACCCGGAAATGTAAGGCATACATTCGGGTAAACTTTCTGAATATTCAATCACGATTTGACAAAGATTATTATCGAAAACTTATAAAGGTGGTAATAAGACATTAAAACTGACCTCAAGCTATTTAATTTACGTCTGTTTAACCAATATAGGGAGTAACACCATTACTTACATTCCTCGTTATAACAACGAACGTGTCGTTCCTGCTGCTACTGTAACTTAACTACTCACTGCTTATGCACAGATAAATTACAGTCATTAAAACTATGCTCCATTAATCGGACAATACCAATGACGTACAAACATGTGACTTTCCGATTTAGAATATTGATCTTCAGTAACCCATGCTTGTCGTAAGAGGCGACTAACGGGATCGGGTGGTCAGGCTCGCTGGCGCGGTTGACACATGTCATCGGTTCCCAATTGCGCACATCGATGCTCATGTTGATGATCACTGGATTGTCTGGTCCAGACCCGATTATTTACAGACCGCCGCCATATAACTGGAATATTGCTGAGCGCGGCGTCAAACTAAACTCACTCACTCACTCAATGATGTAAATGTGTGTTACGTCAAAAATGAAAAAGACAAGCTATTGTCTGCCCTTGTCATTATTGAGCTCTCTCCCTTTCCGGATACTCGATTCCTAGAAGTAGGACTCGATGCCAGCTGTACCCGACCCGGATTCGAGTCCCAGCCTTAGAATTCAGTGATGCATTTGTTGCCGCTGAATGTGAAATAGAAGTGATGTAATTGGCGTCTCAATACCGGTCTTCGCGAAACGTGATTTTGTAAACACTATCCAATAGGGCGCAAAGTGCACTTGGGCGTTCGTGTGAGTGTATTTATGAACACATCTGAACACGATTCCAGGTTCATCGGCAACGTTTCAGAATTATAAGTGATTTTATGAAAAACTGATATCATTGGTAATTAATATGCTATTTTTGAAAGTCAATACTCCGAGTAATTATCCGAGTTTGTTTTGATATGTCCGTCTGGCATCCCTTCCCACAGATGGATTTTAATTATATTTTTACTAATCATTTCAGCAATAGGCCTAATTTCTTTATCATTCTTCGATTTTTTTATTTGAAGCAAATCAACGTTCTATAATACACTTATGAAATATAATACATGTTTTCCGACCCTGAAGTCATTAAAAAGAATTATGCATTTATTGCAGTCACGTGTGAATTGAACTAAATGAAGATTCATCTGATTAATGAGTATCGAGGAAATTATGTTCATCTATAAATTAGACGCAGCTTCATGTTTTTCAAGACATCTTTCCGGAATGTGCGTCTGTGAAGGCGTTCAGATGTTGACGATATTGCACACTATTATTCATGAGATTCCTGTCAACAGTAAGGTCGAATAATAGATCGATTTTATTCAGCAGTGTTGGCCCTGGGGCCTATAGTTCAATTACAGTTTGATCTACTTGCACGTGGTGCTAGTAAAATATTCAGTTTCTATTGGCATTGAATGCACATTTCAGATAAAAGCTAATGGTATTAATTTCACAACATCTATATTGTTTGATGTTAAAGGATTTGGCAATGTGTGTTGATCCATTACAATTTTTGACAGACTTGGCAAATAATTAATAAATGATATTGATAGCATCTTCACGACTTGGCCATACAGTCATGACAATTTAAGGAGTGAGGAGTGAGCGTTAGGTCTTGTGGGAATTCAAAGATTCATTAAGACTGTAGCCGTCTAAGCGTAACTCCTGTTTGCAATATTTATACATTTTCTATCCACGGACAACATGCTTCTACTATTAATATTATTTCATGGATTCATGATATTTTATCTATAGCTGTGCTATAGTTTTTCAGTAAAATGTCTTTTCTGTTGTCGGAATTGAAGTAAGTCCCACACGGAGCTGGGATCATATGTCTTTGAAATATATATGCAAACGGCTGGAACCTTGTGTTCCAATACATAACGTTCGTAGCGTTACGACATTCGCATGCCTATGATAAACTATAGAGTTGGCCTCAACCATTGACTGGATTACACTCTCTTCGTCAGCAGATAAATTTCGACTTCCTCTTTTCCTTGGGGTGCAGGCGACAGTTTGCATTTCCATTTTTGGTAAACCGGAAGTAAACAGAAAACGGAATTATGGGATATATGGAAGCTAACCAGTGACGTTAACCACACTGTTAAACTTTGACGGCGACGTTAGCTAACGGCATGACTAACCATGTTTTGAAGGACGCATATTTAACGTTCGGTTACATAACCGGCCGTTAGGAGTTAACCGGCGGTTAAGATAACCGAGCATTGAACAACCGGGCCCTGACATGTTCGTTAGGAAATAGCCAAAGATCCCGTTATACTATGGGTTCACTCCCAAAAGAGAGACCTCCCAAAAGACAGACCTCCCATAAGACAGACTCAATGAGTACACGAATTAGCTGAGCCATGCTGTCCACCCATATTTAATTAATGAGCTGACCCAGAGTCACTATAGAGTATAGTAACAACACACTCTTGTCTCATGTGCCCTTCTCAAAACATATTACTAATCCTTTTACTGACCCATCGCTACCAGGTTGTAGGAAAAAAAGTCATAGGAAATTGTTATTTTTCCTATGACTTTGTACCCATGACTTTTTTCCATGACTTTTTTCCTATGACTTTTTTCTGATCACCGTTCTAGATGGCTACCTGTATGCCCAGAACAAGGTGAAAGGAGAAAATGATGATGTTCAAGTGACTTTCTAATAGGGATGTCACGATACATAACTTTCATGAATCGATACCTATCACGATATACCCTAATATGTTTGATAGGTAAATGTATATAAATTATTGTTTTTGATATGATCTGGCAAATATATGTGGATGTACATATATGTTGATGCAATATGTCTTAATTTAAAAATCATAATTTATTACATGAACTGATAAAACTATAGTTAATACCTAATGCTGTCTTTTTTTATCTGGGCACATACCATTATTATCAAGGGTACGGTTTAGTCTCTATTCACCTACATCTCAATTCGCATACATCCCATTTCGCATACAAAAATAATGTAGGCTAATTGGGAAAATTGCACCTCTACTCTTATAATGAACCAGCTGACTCACTGGTCAGTGCCATACTACATCTTGATCGACTGTTGTTACAAGGATATTTGGTCGATTCTAAAAAAAAGTGTAAACAGCTAGGTATAGGTTGTCCAAAACAGAATTGCTTGCACCTTATAATTCTTTTTACCACTGTAAAGTCAACGTATGTACTTGTAGGTAACAAATATCGCATAATTCCTTGTATTTTATAAACGTTTATAAATGTCAAACTGAATCATAGCTGTTTTATTAAAACATCGAACAGTTTGGAAATTGTTTATCTAAATGCATAGGGCATGTGTAAAAAGAGTGTTTACAACCAGTTTAAGGGTTTCTCTTCGTTTTGTCTCAGTGTATGTCGGAAAGTAGCCATGTCATTTTGACTGATGGAAATAGAAATTGAACTAAAATCATTACACCTTAAATTATATTTACCAAATGTTTCAACTGACATTTGTATTCAAAAGAAAGCACATCACAAATGTTCAAAACGCTTGAACTATTTGGTATTTTTATGTATTTGTAGGTAACATAATACATTTGTTCTGAAGATCACCCCTTTAGGACCTCGACGTGGCTGGTCACCTTATCAAGTTGAAGTGAGATTCTACCATGCCTTCAGTAAATAATGGAAGATTGTGATTGGTTAATCAAAGTCATTCAGAGGTATATAATCACGTTATATACCTCTGATTTTCCAATGCAGTATGTATTCATTGTAATCTTAATAACACAGCTATGGTCGAATGGATATAAAATTATAATAGCTCTAAATTTTGTATTTAAAACCTCACGCTACGCGTTCGTTTTTAATTCAAATTTTGAGCTATTATAATTTCGTTATAAACCTCTAATTTTCCAACACAGTATGTTTATCTCCTAAATGGACATCTGCACAAGTTAACTTCCTTATCACTAATGTTATATGATGTGATATGATGTGATTATCATTGTGATCGGAAAATGATAAATAACAGAATAAATGAATAACAGACAAATAACAGAAACAGCTGTTGTTTTAAGATTGTAGGCGAATTTGGATGTAGGCGAAATGAGAACATGCCAAGGGTACAGCTTAATTAAACCTTATGCAACCAACCATAAAATGTGTTTTTTTAAGCGGTCTGTCTTTTGGGAGGTCTGTCTTATGGGAAGATACCATACTATGTCAACAAATCCCACCAATCAACGCGTATTACGTCACCCCAAAGCGTTTTAATTCCGAATATTAATGACACTCATTCAAATGAAATAAGTTATGATAATGATTGTCATGATGTCAGTTAAAATTTAAAGCCTCATCAGCAGTATTTGTGACAAATAAATGATGATACATTATTGATAAATACATTTACACTATACAACAACGTCTCAACAGTATGATAATGAACGCCAATGTTGTGTTTCATCTGAAATCTTGATAGTCAAACAAAATCAATCAAGAGTTGTTGAAACATATACAGCAAATACCTGATGTCTATGTAAATACTTCACCCTCAGTAACATTTCTGGGAGAGTAGAGATCGAAGAACGATCTGCCTTCCTTGTAACTCTTAGCATTTTATAATACAAATATGTTACACACTTTTCCCATTTTGAATGTTTGTTTGTTGTTTAAAGCCACACTCAGCAATATTCCAGCTATATAGCCGCGGTCTGAAATAATCTCGGGTTGTCGATTTTACGTCCTTGTCTGTGGAGTAGCGGAAGTTGGATAATTAGCTTAGAGTATCATGAAAGTTGTAGGGAAATCAGTATCAAATGGAAGGAAGTAAATCAGGCGTGGTCTTCGAATATATGCCGAGTTTATATTGCTCTAGACAATTTGGTGTTCTTGTAGCCCCAATAACGTTTTCACATGGGTCCTTTCTAAATGATAACACTATATAGACAATATTAAAACTGTTACTCGAGTTTAGGGGGTGCGTTACACATGTACCATTTAATTTCGATTTTTTACACATTTGATGCATTACTTACACATTGTTCACGTACACATAGTATAAATAGTGCCAAATATTATAGTTTCTGTGATATATAAAGTAATCTACGGTTAAAACGAACTCGAAGGGACAACAAATTTTAGTTCGTTATGACCGTAATTCGTTACAGCCATTTTTTGACTAAAATTTACCGCAAGTGACGGAACAAAAAATAGTTCGTTATATCCGTTCATTCGTTACAAACGTGTTCGTTATAAACGAAGTTTCCTGTGTCAGCATGACATACATTGTTCTGAAGCTCCCCGACCATTCCAGTCCACAGTCCCGGTGCTATCTCTTGGCCCCACTCCCCGTCAATCGGGTACTTGACTCTGTACCTGGAGAAGATGACACAATGGTACAGTTATCAATACGGCAAATCATAAGAGAAACGGCTTTAAGACATTGCCCGTCGCTTAAGTCAATATTGTAACAAAGAGCACAGATTTCTAAGCCTTTTTGTAGTGTTCAAAGAGCAGACACAGAGATTAATCAATATCGTTTGATAAGAGAAAAAGGTGAGTCTTGTTTGTGCACGTTTCTGAATAGCTAGCACGAACTAGGAACAGAACGAGCAGAGACTGGCACGGGCGAAGAACAATACATTTGGAATCACGTCAACATGCACTCGGCATGAACGTGAAATGGGAGTTGGTTATTTGAAGATATCCATCAAAGGACATGAACGTACGTGAAGTTGAGTCTCAGGGATAACTCATGCAGCATATCCACACACAGACCCTCGAAGGTCAGCTCCCCAGATATGTTCTTTACAAACGTGAAGGGAGCCCACTGAAAGATAAAAATATTATATACTAAGATCCATAAGAAACGCATCGCCGGAACCAAACGGTTTATCTTTCTGAAAAGTGAAGAAAAGAACGTGTCCCTACTGACATTAAAATAGCCAATAATGATGGTAACACAAGAAAAAGAAGTCATTCACCATTTCGTGCAACCATAAATCAACGATAACAATGACAGGGGTACAACTGAAATATCACACGAGCTCAAAGACCGCCTCCGTGGTGTAGTGGTTAGAGCGTCCGCCCGGAGAACGGAAGGTCGCGGGTTCGATACCCGACCGCGTCATACCAAAAGACGTTAAAATATGGTACTTGTTGGTCCCTGCCTGGCGCTCGGCATTAATGGATACAACAAGGACTGATCGGCTCGGAGTAAGTATAATGTGTCTGAGTGGGGTATTCCTGCTTCACTGCGGCATGGTATCTCAGTGGGCTAGCACTATAAAACCAGCTTCAGTCTGGGCTAGTACAAGCAGCCGCACATACACATACACACGCATGCACGTCGTCATATGAGCGAAATATTCTCAAGCACGACGTTAAACCCAATTTCACCTCACCTCACCCACCTCACCTCACGAGCTCAAACACTTTCACACAGTCAATGTCAGTAACGGGTAACGAGTCGAGCACAGGTACACATCGTCGTCTCATGAAGATGAAGATGACGAAACCTTGACGTATCTATCGCCATATTCGTTGCAAAGCGAGTTCCAGATATGTGTCACACATTGTACCGATGTAGGGATTCGAACCTGGGTTTTTGTGACGAGCGAGCGCTTTAACCACTAGGCTACCCCACTGCCTCTGATTGTGTAAAGAGAATCAAACGCGGCTATAAGAGGTCACCCCAAACTTACGTTCGCCACTTTGGTGATGCTTCCGAGATCAGGGGTGAATGGTTTCCCAGCTGTTTAAGGCACTGTAATTCTCTGTGGAGAGCCCTGTCTCTTGGACAATTATGATTGTGGCTTCGAATCCCGATTATGCTTTCAGGTTTGTCAGCAACATACCCTTGGTGGGTTTAACAGCGGAAAACGTTTGAGAACAGGATCCCCTTGCACAAAGCGATCTAAGTGCTGAGGTGATTGTAACCAGTGTGCGAATAGTTTCCAAATTTGCTGGCCAGTCGGGTTAGATATGCTTTAAAGTTACTAGCCCACAAAATCCATTCACTAGCCCGAAATGTGAATGTAGACACGGGTTTCATCATTACTATATTTACAAAATGACCCCATGAAAATTCACTAGCCAGTCGGGTCATATTTACTGGCCCGACTGGATTTTTACTAGCCACGGACTAGCGGGCCAGTGGCTATTTCGCGCACTGATTGTAACTCCCATACTTTAACATAGACTTACAATCATTGAAGCTCTAAGATCGCTTTGTGCAAGTGGTTCCTGCATTACATTGACCTTTCATCCCACATCAAGTTGACGCTGTGATAGAGTGAGTGAGTAAGTTTAGTTTCACACCGCACTTAGCAATATTCCATTTATATGGCGGCGGTCTGTAAACAATCGAGTCTAGACCAGACAATCCAGTGATCAACAGCATGAACATCGATCTACGCAACTGGGATGCAATGTTATGTGTCAACCAAGTCAGCGAGCCTGACCACCTGATCCCGTTAGTCGCCTCTTACGAAAACCATGGGTCACTGAAGATCAAGTCTAACCCGGATCTTCACGGGTGCCATGATAGAACTGGAATTGTAACCACAGCAGTTGTTAAAGCGTTCACTTGTCACGCCGAAGATCCGGTTTCAATTGACCACATGGGTCCAGTGTATCAAGCCCATTTCTGGTGTCCCCCGCCATGATCGTAAAAAGAAACTATACTCACTCACTCATTCGCTCACAGTGGTGTTAAAGCCAAACACCCTGACACAGCAGATCATCGGTCATAATTGGCGTAGAGAAAGTATTCAAACCGACGTGCAACACTTATATGCATCACTTCACAGTGCACTACTGACCATTCTTTCAATGAAGCAGAAAGAAAATATCACAATCGATTTAATAATAATAATAATAATAATATAGCGCATATATCCATGCTAAAGCATGCTCAAAGTGCACAAGGTAAAGATGAGATAAATGGTAAAGAGCTACAGTTCAAAGGCTATCTTGAACATGTGTGTTTTGAGATTGGATCTAAAAGAATTAAAGTCACAACAGTCTCTGAGGCTCTGCGGGAGACTGTTCCAGGCTATAGATCCTGCATACATCGCCGTCTTTACGTAGAGGGTAATGGACAAAGGACCTCTTTCCATACATCACTGTCTTTACTTTGGGAACAACAAGCAAGTTCTTTTCCTGTGAACGGAGAGATCGGGAAGGCGTGTACACGGTTAGAAGATTGGATAGATAAGAAGGCGCAGTTCCAGTGAGACAGCGGAAAACAAGGCATAAGAGTTTAAACTGGATCCTGAACTCGACTGGAAGCCAGTGGAGAGTGTACAGTATAGGAGTAATGTGTTCATATTTTCCAGAGCGAGTCACGATACGGGCGGCGACGTTCTGCACTCTCTGCAGTTTGGCTATCTGGGTCTTCAATCCTTGACTAGTGAAATTGCATGGAAGCAACGGTAAGGAACCTACCATATAATATGTTGGGGCTTTCTTTTGGTAGGTAATTACTTTTGTCTCACAGTATGCATCATAATGTAAATTGTTCACTGGCTGTTTTAAATAATGAAATAATTTGTCCATCCTCCTTTGTGGGTCTACCTTTTAAGGACAAAAAACTTGTATTGCATTGAAGAATTGACTCTTTCTCCTGGGAATCAGATAGGCGCCCCATAGTGGCAGTAAGGGAGTTCGGTAAAATGAATATTCATGTCAAAAACTCAACAGTGGTTGCTAGAACAATAGCAAGATAGAAATGTTCGGTTCTCGGAATCGAAGGGAATCTATACTTCAAAGTCTGGCGTCCTTTGAAATGAACCCAAAGACGTTATATTAGTGCCATGTTTGAGTTATGAACATTCTTTTGGGAATGAAGGGTTATTATTATCTGCAAGACAGATATGCGTAATAATCACACACCAAACCAACAGAGAGGATCCCTAATGACCGATCTTGCCAGCATTGACAGACACAATCGACAATGTCACAATACCCTAATCATATAATTCAGAGCCGTGGGAAGAAGGTTACAGGAATAAGAGAGTTATGACACTTTATGAATGAGTGTGTGACTATGGTTTTACGCCAATAGCAATATTCCAGCAATATCACGGCGGGGGACACCAGAAATGGGCTTCACACTTTGTATCCATGTGCGGAATGGAACCCGGGTCTTTGGCGTGACGAGCAAACGCTTTAACCACAAGGCTACCCAACCGCTCCACTTTATTGATGATAACCTCTGTATTATATTATCATGTGACGTTTCGGTCAGGACAACGGTGTACCGAATCGTCGCATCATACTACAATAAAGGAGTTGTCATCCATAGAATATCACACCTTTTTTATTATTCAACAGCTTCTAACATGCCAATCAAACACAGCTAGGATCCATGCAAGGAAGCAAATTTACTGTAATTCCCCATGGTCCCTAGTATGGTGATCTACCTTCAGTTGTTGGCCATCTATAGCCCGTGTTTTATATTGTACTGTCTTCTTCAATTAAAATGTTTTAGATTTACAGTCTAGTTTTATATTCATATCTGTGATACTCTCGGATTTTTACTGTCCATCATCGACAGATTTTACTCTTAAAATGTTTTCATTTACATTGTATAAATTGTTTCCGTCACGATATGGCTGAGATATTGCCGATGTGTGGTTAAATATTAACCCACTCACTCACTCCAATCAAACAGGCTAAAGTAAGTTTACATACATAAAGAACAATACGTTTATTTAACCTTTAAACTTCTACCCATGGCACTGAATTATACGGTTAGGGTAGTGTGACATTGTAGACTGTTTAGCTTTAAAATGGTTAGTACGACCAGGTTGTCTGGCTACACTAGCAAGAGTCAGGTCATTCGAAATGTCAATCAAACAGGTTAAAGTATGTTACAATACCCTCATTGTGGATGCTACAAAGAGCCTGCCGTTGAAGCCGTATTCCAGGTTTGGAAGAAGTTGGGAGTAGTTGTAGACGTAGCCGCTGCAGTTGAACTTTCCCACGTGCGCTAGACGTCGACTGACGTGACCGTCGCCCACGTCACGATACATCAGGGTGTATATGTCACCCCAGCAAGTCTTGTCACTCTGCTTAAAAAGTGTAAATGAAAGGCTCAAAAATAGATTTTGTTTTTATATTGTGGTAAAAATAAATAATTAACGTAATATTATACTGTTGTGGTCATATTACATGAAGCTGACTACGCACCTGATGTTGTGTAAATGGGCATCCTCCCTTTTGTGAGGCATATTTACCCATACTGCTTTAGGATTACATGCTCAAGTTTTTAAGCCTTGCGCGGGAACAATATGACGGTGGTAACTTAAATATCTCTGACACTATATTCACAACGTGAATAATGGTTAAAGAATGTTGATATACTGTATGTTATGTCACTGCCACTGAAATCACATGGATACACACATACACCTTGATGCATACACACACCTACATTCATATATACATACATGATACATACATACACACATAATAATAATGTGTCCATTTATATAGCGTCAAACTCCACACTAGGTATGCTCATAGCGCTAACAATCAAGGCACAGCATATTATTACCCCGGATAACCCAAGCTACCTGTTAGGCACTAGAAGGTTATAGTCATATGACTTTTTCCACCGGGTACCCATTTTCCTGCTGGGTGAACAGAGAACATTTTGAACAAACTCACTTGCCTAAGGTGAGACCACATGTGTCACGTTGTGGGGCAGGACTCAAGTCCTAGAAACTCTCAGGAGTCAAGCTGCCAAACACGGTCACCCATCCAAGGACTCTCCGAGCTCGAAGCTGCTTAACTTCACCGATTTGTGACCTGAGCTTTGAGCACAGTACCACGCGCCACCACATATTACAATGAACACATGGGAGATGGTGCTAAATACCTAATGAATCATTCTCTGCCGACATCAAGCACCATTGCTCAAATTTGTTAATTATGCAGAAGGAAGCTCTCGCCTGTATTCTACTACAATACAAGCCCTGCTGCCATCTTCTCCTCAACCATGCTGTGCATGTTTACGGCCATTGAGACTTTCTCAGTTGTATTGGTACTTGGGAGTACAGTCATATAGTGCAGTCTGGTGAAGTGTGGTACTAGCAGTGTTTTTGTGAAATCAATAAATGTAAATGGCTCTCTCATACGCATGTGCTTATTGTCTATAGCTGGGATATCGATGTGCAAGTATGTTATTCACAAGTATCATACACACTTTGGAAAAGGATTCATGGAGTAGAACTGTGGTTAATACGTTCGCTAGTCATGACGGTGACCGGTTCGATGCCTAGTTGCGATTTAATTTAGAATTGACTTAGGGTTTTTTGAAAATATGGTATAAACGTTGAAACGAGTGTTAACCCCTTTATGCTGAAACACCCATTAATTTTGAAGCAACCAAAAGTAAGTTTAAAGCCATATAGGCAGGATACAAAGAACAGTAGACAACAAAACAGAGGTTGTGCCCTTTCTAAACATCTCACGCTAAAACATTTCCTTGTTATCCAAATAACATTTAATTTCTGAAATACCTGATGGCACATATGTGGAAGGCAGTATCATGGAGAAAACAAATATACTGTCTCAAAAAATAAACACATATTAATCCATGAAATTTCAAATATTTTATTTTTTAAAATTAGTGTTTGATTGTTATAATGTTGCCATTCAATTGTTGGTTTTTGTACAAGGAACGAATGCATAGCGCAAAAACGATTCTACGAAAACTCTAATGCACGTGTCGAAAGTGTCTACTTGCATGAAAATGTCAAAGAGAAAAAGTGGTTTGCAATATGCAAGTGCAGTTCTGAGGAATCGTGAGCATGGATATTACCTATATAAGGCCGTTTTGCTTTTAGACGGTCATTGGCATTTTTTAGCTAAACGAAAGAATATCGTTATGCCGCGACTCACTGCTGTAAATCGAAACATTGTCATTTCACGATATTAGAGTGGGGAGTTCCATTCTGCAGTTGTACGTCACCTCAATGTTCACCGGAGTACCATCAGTCGTTTATGGGACAATATCAACAAACCAATGTATTTAAGATCGGCCTCGAAGTGGTAGACCTCGTGTTACCACTGCAGTGAAGGATAGGTACATCCGGGTACTTCATTTGCGGAATCGAACTGTCATAACAACTGCAACTGCAAGTGCAGTGCTTGGTTTTGGCTAAGTGTCGGCGCAAACCCTTCATAATCGTGTACGAGAAGCTGAACTTCGAACCAAAAGACCCTATTTTGGCCTTGTGCTCCGACGACTACATCGACGTCGACGGGCCCACTGGTGCAATAACGTTCGAATTTGGAATCTATGTAACTGGCGACGTGTATGGTTCAGTGACGTATCACGCTTTCTGCTTCAGTGCCGTGACGGAAGAGTACTAGTATGTGTCTATCGACGTCGAAATGAACGTTTTGCCCAGAATTGTGTCGCCCGGGTTGACCGATATGGCGGTGAGAGTGTCATGATGTGGGGAGCCATATTTGATACAGAGTCGAAATTATAAGGATTCACTTGGTTTGTTGACCTCCAGAGGTAGATGTTTCAGCAAGATGATACCAGACCTCACACAGCACATGCCACAATTCAGTATCTTCAGAAAGAGGACATGACAGTGCGTCCTTGGCCTTACAAATCGCCCCACCTCAAGACCAATTGAGCATTTGTGGGATGACCTCGGCCGACGCCTACGTGAACGTCAACCGGCGCCCTAGACGTCAGATCAACTGTCGGCATTGTAAGAGGGGTGGGCCAGAATTCCACAAATCGAATTCAAAGACGGTTGCAGTCTTGGGGGCTCATGGTGGCCGCAACAAATATTGAAGACAAAGCCCAACTGGGAACGGACGCCTTCACGTATTGTTTTAATAAGCTATACATGTGAACAGATATTTGATCTTTCATACTGTGAAATTTGGCTGCAACTGATCCAGAATTACATGGGTTATCTCACTTTATAGTTAGCAGATTAAATTAGTGAAAAACACCTTTTGCGTTTCTTTTTTGTGTATACATCGTTAGAGTATACATCGTTAATAACCTTTTTGCGCTTGATTTCACCGGCTTAAGAACAATCATATCTAATACAACACAATTTCAAACAACTGAAACTATAAAACGGGTCCCTTTTATCAAAACGGGTCACTTTTATCAAATGATAACGTTTACTTCAAGCCATTTCTCGAAATTCGTGGCCATTCACTTGCTGTTGGTATATTTCACCTTAACCTTTCGTCTACTTCTCGTTCCTATCAATTATGTTTTTTGACAAATACAGTATTAGCAGCGAATAATATAGGGAATAAAATAAGTGTTATAAATAGCACTGACTCAGTTGTGTCTAATTATGTAAACACTTATTGAGATAAAAACGGATATATGCGTGTGTTCATTTCGTCGAACTGGTGATGGGCAATCACAAAATACATCGATCGACGTACACAACACTAAACCATTTTTATGAGTGGTACAGGTCTGACTAATTGCAGCCTCACCAGTGCAAGAAGGTTGGAGCGAAAAACACAGTAGTTCCGTGTATTTGTGAGGCTTCCGTATGTTTGCTGTGTTTTCCATCTCCCACCCGCCCTGAATTTTTCACGGTGTGAAAACAACCCTTTCTTATCTCAATTTTACCCGAAATATGATAAAAAGTACCCTTACTCTGGCACACTCATATAAAAAAGTGCATTCTTTCTTCATCTATATATATTTGAAAAAATGTCCGAAACGAAGATTCGATATGCATCAAGAATTAATTTTAAAGGCTATTATCAAGTGATCTAAATTATAAATTTTCACAATTTGTGTAAACGCGTTTTAGTGTTTTACATTATGACTTAAACGTATATGTAATACATATCAGCACCCTTAAAGCGGTGAAATCAAGTGCAATAAGGTTATAACGATATCTTGTTTTCTCCAGGATACTGCCTTTGACCCGTATCCCATGAGGTATTTCCCAAACTAAGTAATTTATTGTTTCTTAGTTCAAGAATATCATAAAATATGTTACACATTATTTTATTTATATATTTATTTTTTGCCCACTCGCACTATTGCTGGTTGATGTTAGAAGTGAGGAACATATACAAACGGATGGCCTAACGCGTTTGTAGTTTGTACATCACGTCTGCATCAATGGTAAACTAATCTCCTAGTCCTTGCATGTATACTAGGCACATAATGAAACCGTGCATACAAAAATTGAAAATCTAAATTTATCAAACCTGTGTAGACACATAAGGATTTAAACTCAGAGATTATTGACATGTATCCAATATGCATGCACGTGCCACGTTCCGTGACGTCAGTGGGTTCGTCCTTGAGACGCATTGCCACACAATACTGTCACTTTGGAAAGCTCAACCCCTGCCCTTGCGATCGTTCAAAAAATTAAACGGCTATTGAAACGCATAGCATGCCAAGGCTCACGTCTGCACAACGTCATGAGGCCATTGGGATGGTCCGTGGGGGGATGTCTCAACGACAAGTGGCTGCACATTTCCACTGCCACCGGAACACCATTTCTGCACTGGTGAGACGCTACCAGAACACAAATGACGTCATCGATCGGCCACGTTCTGGACGTCCACGTGTAACAACGCCAAGACAGGACAGATGGATAAGGGTGACCCATCTTCGCCACAGGTTTCAGACTGCAGTGATGACTGCCCGAACCATCCCAGGACTTCGCCGTATACACCCCAACACAGTTCGACAACGTTTACGTCATGACGGGATCAGACCACGACGTCCCGCCATACGGCCTATCCTGACACAACGTCATCGACAAGCTCGCCGAATGTGGTGCCGAAATCATGTCCGCAGACCCTTGTTTTGGTGGAGAAATGTTGTTTTTACAGATGAGTCCAGGTTTAACATTTCCCATAGTGATGGACGTCAACGTGCCTATAGACGCGTGGGAGAACGTTATGCAAAGGCCTGTGTCTTGGAGAGGAATCGCTTTGGTGGTGGTTCCGTGATGATTTGGGGTGGAATAACAGCACGCCAAAGAACTCCTTTGGTGATTGTTCAGGGCAACTTAACTGGTGTGGGCTACAGGGATCAGATTTTTCGACCTGTGGCAATTCCTTTTCTGCAACGTCATGGCCCTGGGTTAACCTTCCAACAGGACACTGCCCGCCCTCATACGTTGCTATGGATTTCTTGCAACACCATTACGTTGACTTACTGCCTTGGCCTGCAAATTCACCGGATCTCTCCCCGATAGAGCATGTTTGGGACGAGATGGATCGACGTCTTCGCCGTCTTCCTCATCCGCCAGATAACGTCCTTGACCTTGCCACAGAACTTGAGAGAATCTGGCGTGACATCCCACAAGCCTTCCTTGCACGTTTGATAGGCTCTATGCGTCGTCGATGCACTGCTGTTCTCAATGCCGATGGTGGACATACCCGTTATTGAGCTTGTGACATGGTCGTTTGACCCCTGTCCCGCTTGTGGACTCGTGGCGTCATTGTGATTGACTTTTCAACTGAAATTCTCACGACTTGTTATGGTCTCATGATCCCTCCATTACAGTTTATATGTACCTTTGACATTGTTATCGTACTTATGAACTGGGATAATGTTTTGACAATGCACAGTTTCTTTATGTGGCTAGTATATAACAGAATACCTAACATAATGCATAGAGACATACAGTCGTTAGTCAGTAATATCGCCGGTCAGATATTGTGAATGATTGCGGTTTTTAACAATTGTTTTCTTCGTGAGTCTACTGTGTTGAATATTCCATCACAAGGGATGTCTATTTCAAATCACGAACTATGAAGGATCTTTTAAATAATATAAGTTCTCATTTAATTATTACATTTTTAAAAGAATTAGATTTGTTAAATGATTTGTAAATAGATAAATATTTTATGATTGGAAGTTTAAATTAACAACTCAAATAGATAGTGGCTGGGGTTAAAGTATTGTAAAATTATTGTCCTCCCGAGAGGGTACGTAAGTCCCAAAACTCTCAAAGTAAATTTCAAACTTACCAGGATTTTAAGCGTAGAATTTTTGTGATTTTAATTATGGCTAAATTTGACTACAGTCGCCGGCTACTGAAGGTATGATGTAAATCCAGCTAGGGTCCATGTCGGTAGCAAAGGTACTGTAAGTCCCCAGGGTCCTTAGTATATTGATCTACCTTCAGTTGCTGGTGATCTATATAGCTCGTTCTTATATTGTACTGTTGTCTCTCGTGATATATTTTTAGGACAGCGTACTAGTTTTAAATTAAGAGCTGTGATATTCTAGTATTAGTGTCCTTCGATGACAGGTTTTTACGTTATACATTTATTGATTTGAATATTGATATCAACTGTTCTCGTCACTATAATATTGCCCATGTGACGTTAAATTTTAACTCACTCACTCACTCTTCGTGAGTCTAGTTTGTAAATTCAGCAATCAATCACAACAACATGTTATTATCATAAATAAATTTGTTTTGACCTCTTTTCAGAGATTGTGTACGATCGCTCTTTTAACAATTGCTTTCTTCGTGAGTCTAGTTTGTAAATTCAGCAATCAATCGAACCAATATTTTATAAATACACTTGTTTTGACCTCTTTTCAGAGACGGTGAATGATTGTGTTTGTTTAGCATTTTTTTTCGTGAGTCTTGTTTGTAAATTCAGCAATCAATCGCAACAACAGTTTACCATCATAAAGAAATTTGTTTTGACCTATGTTTTGCATTGTTTTGTTTTAACATTTGCTTTTTTCGTGAGTCTGGTTTTAAAATTCATCAATCAATCGCAAAAAAAAAAGATCATGAAGAAATTTCTTCTGACGTCTTTAGAAATATTGTTCCTTGAAAACGATACTGCCTCAGGGTACAGGATAAACAGCGTACATTACGCCTCATTGAGAAATATTCCTGTTTTAAGTCGTGGAAATAGATTCATGAAAACCAAAAAAACAAGAGGGAAGATGTTATCACCGTGGTCAAACATGTCCAGGAATGCTGTCCAGCAAACACACAGGCGAAAAAAGGATCCGGACAATGGACGGATCTAAAAAAGACATCTACTAACATAGTGTTGAACGATAAGCAAACACAGATTACTCAGAAAGCTTTAAAGGGTGTTTCCACTACAGCTACCAGTAAACTGTCACTTTTATGCATATAACGGATACAAATATGGACACGGCTTTCCCAGTATTGGACGAACACTCAACGGTCGTTGCCTGTTCTCACAGTTCGATATCTAATGATTGGATAACTTATTTTCATAATATTTACAAGTAGCCATGGTATAAAGTTTGGGCCGTAGTCCATATAAATCAAATAAACAGGCCCAGTTTAAAGTTTCACTTTGAAAGGTGTGGATCTGCTTTCAGTGCAAATATCTTTCAAGTCTAGCAACTAAGGAAGGAAGTATCATTTATCTGGTGTCTAATTTACTATTGTTAGCACAGAAATAACGTGCTGCATTCCGTGTTCTTGGGGGTTAGTTCCAAAAGTAATCTTCACAGAAACTGTTTTCTACATAATATGAATGGGTTGGGTTTAAGACCGCTTTGAACCCTATTTCAGTCAATGAACAGAGTGTCAGATCTTACATGTTTACCACTAAGTAAACTTAGGCTCAGTATTATTCGTCTGATAGGTTAAATCCTTTTGGCCGTCTCGCCTTGATTGGACGGTCACAGGTCGCTCAAAAGTTAGCTGACTCAGTATAGTAGCGTAACGAATAATACTGAGTCTAAGTTTACTTAGACTGACCACTTTGGTGAAACCTACAAACACGGGTATAGACATGATTATCTTATTTTATTTTATTTTTTGTGTCCATGATGCAACTCTGACACACAACAGGTGATTATACATGTACCATCTTCTTACCAGCGTATTTGGGGCTGGTTTGGAGAAGGTGGGGTGGATTTGAACTGCACATGATGATTGTCTTGGTAACAGATACCGTTTGTTACCCAACCAGATCAATCAGAATTTAGGAGGATGAACGTATTTGGGGCTGGTTTGGAGAAGGTGGGGTGGATTTGAACTGCACATGATGATTGTCTTGGTAACAGATACCGTTTGTTACCCAACCAGATCAATCAGAATGTAGGAGGGATGAACGTATTTGGGGCTGGTTTGGAGAAGGTGGGGTGGATTTGAACTGCACATGATGATTGTCTTGGTATCAGATACCTTTTGATACCCAACCAGATCAATCAGAATTTAGGAGGGATGAACGTATTTGGGGCTGGTTTGGAGAGCAGGTGGGATGGATTTGAACTGCACATGATGATTGTCTTGGTAACAGATACCGTTTGTTACCCAACCAGATCAATCAGAATGTAGGAGGATGAACGTATTTGGGGCTGGTTTGGAGAATTTAGGAGGGATGAACGTAGGTGGGGTGGGATGGATTTGAACTGCACATGATGATTGTCTTGGTATCAGATACCGTTTGTTACCCAACCAGATCAATCAGAATGTAGGAGGGATGAACGTATTTGGGGCTGGTTTGGAGCAGGTGGGATGGATTTGAACTGCACATGATGATTGTCTTGGTATCAGATACCGTTTGTTACCCAACCAGATCAATCAGAATGTAGGAGGGATGAACCTAAACCGTTTGTTACCCAACCAGATCAATCAGAATGTAGGAGGGATGAACGTATTTGGGGCTGGTTTGGAGCAGGTGGGGTGGATTTGAACTGCACATGATGATTGTCTTGGTATCAGATACCGTTTGTTACCCAACCAGATCAATCAGAATGTAGGAGGGATGAACGTATTTGGGGCTGGTTTGGAGCAGGTGGGATGGATTTGAACTGCACATGATGATTGTCTTGGTATCAGATACCGTTTGTTACCCAACCAGATCAATCAGAATGTAGGAGGGATGAACGCATTTGGGGCTGGTTTGGAGCAGGTGGGATGGATTTGAACCTTGGTAACAGATACCAGTTTGTTTGAACTGCACATGATGATTGTCTTGGTAACAGATACCGTTTGTTACCCAACCAGATCAATCAGAATGTAGGAGGGATGAACCTAAACGTGTGCAATGCCTTTGAAAAAGACAATATTAGAACCGCATCATATATAAATACTTGAAGAATGACCTGAAGAAGATTAATTTTTACCCCAAGACGAATACTGTGTCACTTTGTAATGACATATTTCTGCATTAACAATCCCACTACTGCAGTAATATCCATAAAATATTGATGGACATTCCTAGCACCATTTACCTGGTTTTAAAATTCTTTTTTCTTTTGTGGTGTGATCCGAACGCTTAAATTCAAACAATAAACTCTATTGCATTCTATTTTTTTACTCGTTTAAAGGAAACATTCACAATTATTTACACATAGGTATAATGGATTAAAGACTAAGTGAAAGTAAAAGTAAGTTAGAATTCAGGTGCATGACACACAAAACAACGCAAAAGGCACCAGGTGTTCAAAACGCAAAATGCACCAGGTGTTCAAAACCATTGTTGTTGATTATCTTCAAATGATGGTTGAAGGATATTTACCATGGTGGGCCAATCAGCGGAGATGTTGGGGTACGCCATGACGGCGACATTGTCGAGCCAGCTGTCGGTGTGGAACAACTCCAGGTCACGCTGCTGCATCACCACCAGCCACTGGGAGGTCGAACGCATGTCGCTTCGACGTTTGTTCAGGACGTCGAACTTAGCAGCCTAAAACATCAAGAGTAGCCATATTTCATGTCATGATCATGTATAATGTACATCAAAAGTTTAGACTCACTAGTGTAAATGTAGCCACTAACTGTTCAAGACCGCCTCCGTGGTGTAGTGGTTAGAGCGTCCGCCCGGAGACCGGAAGGTCGCGGGTTCGATCCCCGACCGCGTCATACCAAAAGACGTTAAAATATGGTACTTGTTGATCCCTGCCTGGCGCTCGGCATTAATGGGTACAACAAGGACTGGTCGGTTCGGAGTCAGTATAATGTGTCTGAGTGGGGAATTCATGCTTCACTGCGGCATCTCAGTGGGCTAGCACTATAAAACCAGCTTCAGTCTGGGCTAGTACAAGCAGCCGCACATACATATACACACGCATGCACGTCATCATATGAGCGAAATATTCTCAAGTACGACGTTAAACCCAATTTCACCTCACCTCACTAACTGTTCAAAACTAGATTTTGCAAAACACTCCACACTATTTACAGGTACTGTTTACACATGAACTGGTGTATTGTAAAACAAATTTATAACGTTGAAAAGATTATTATCATGAGTTCAATAAATGATGAAACTCAGTGAAAATTGGCGAATTCGTAACAAAACTTTACATCAAAACGCAGCTGTTCACATGCACGATATTTGCACATGCTCTTCACCAATTTGATGCATGATCAACGTGCAGTTCATGTGCATAAGGTTTGCAGTTAGTTCCGCCAAGTCAGTGGAGAAATTCATCTTCGCTGTAACCATATATATACTCATGCCAATAATGGTTGTCACCCCCTTCAATTTTTTTTATTGGAGAGGGGATGTGGGGTGTTGGTGTGGGGTGTTTGGGGTGTTTGGGTGGGGATGGGGGTGACAACCATTATTGGCATGAGTTTATATACATACCATATAGTGAGTGCTTTGAGTGAGTCTAAACTTTTGATGGGTAGTATATATGAAGATCTATTTCTTTATTGGTTCTCCTTCATGTACATATGTTGGAATTGAAAGAACTGAACTGATTCTCGCCGCGAATAGCTGGAAAATTTCTAATGCGGCGTGAAACAATATTCATACATACATTCTTTCTTCCTCCAGTTGACTGAGTGAGGCATTAAACAACCAACCCACCAATCTTCCAAAGGAGGGGCGGTGGGGTAGCCTAGTGGTTAAAGCTTTTGCTCGTCACGCTAAAAGACCAGGGTTTCGATTCCCATACATGGGCACAATGTGTGAAGCCCATTTCTGGTGTCCCCCGCCATGATATTCCTGGAATCTTGCTAAAAGCGGCGTCAAACCAAACTCACTCACACTTGTAAGGAATGATATTGTAAGAAAGAATGCCCAAACTACATCGGCAAACAATTATTTTATTGCACCCAATATGGAATTTGTTATTTAAGATTCTTCTTTTGAAATCGGCTGCCTCTTTCATACAAGGACGAAAGCTAATAATATGGCAGAATACAATTCATAAAAGAGGACGTCAGAAGTCGTCTGTCAAATTTTTCTACACCGTCCGAATAGGCCATTGGAAATGCCATTTCCCTTATTTTTCCAGCCAGATATATTACTGACTAAGATTTTAAAAAAACAGCAACGATGTACATAACGTTCACTGCGGCGAGGCTCGTTTGTAATATCGACCTGTCCAGTCGGTCAGTTTATGACCAATGTTCTTTTTCTTCTGTAATTATATGTATGTTTAGTATATTCTCTATCTGCTATGTTCTATCATTAGTCCCTTTGAAGTTGCATTTATGAGCATTTTACCATATAAACTATGTCTATTTCTAACGTGTTCTGGAAGTGCCACCAACAGTTTTATCCATATAACGGCTATGAATATTTGCTAGATACACATTCTATCGTAGTGTGAATCAGTAAGGTGGAGTAAGTGCAGCCAAAAACAGTATTACTGTTATATTAGTTAATAGTCAGATGAAAGACTGGAATAGTGCTTGTCTCCGACCTTTGCTACTCTGGTGACACCCATGAGCAAGGGGATGGTGCTTACAAACTCAGAATACCACTGAAGATCCGGATTAGAATTGGTCTTCAGCAACCCATGCTTGTCGTAAGTGTTGACTAACGGATCCGGTAGTCAGACGCGCTTACTTGGTTGACACATATCGTATCCCTATTGCGTAGATCTATGTTCACGTTGCTGATCACTGGATTAAATGGTCCAAAATGGATTATTTACCGACCGCTGCCATATGGCTGGAATATTGCTGAATGCGGCCTTAAAAACAAAGACACGTGTCGCCAGAAGTTTAACCAATATCGCATGATCTGTGAACCTCAGTAACGGCGACACATGAGAATGCGGTTTCAAATGAAATATTTATATAGCCCGTACTCGGTTAGAAAAGAATATGCATAATATTGTGCCCCAACGTATTTTTGATAACGATGTTTATGTCAAAGCAATTAGATATATTTCTAAGCGAAAAATAGACCCCCAAAAAACTGGTATATTTTCTCTAACTGAAGGCAGCATGTTTACTAACGAGTAGGCGATCGTTTGAAAACGTGTAGGGTTCAGAAAAAAGGTGTAAAGCTTGAATTGTAACGATCAACAGACGCCAGAGCTTAGTGCATGTCCAGAAGAAAACATTTACCACGAAGATAACACAAAGACGAGAGTCATAGATTGCATACAGACTACAAAAAGATCTAAAACTTGTCAAATTATTTTCCACAAGAAAAGGTTTTAGACAAGTCGATAGTTATGTGTTAAGTGTTGGCAAATATCCTTCTGACTGTTCATTCCTTACAATGTAGGGACCTGAGCCCCGGCAAGATATCGGATCTGATATGTTCAAAGATTGGTCAATAGACCCTACGTAAAGATAAAGGACAAGATCCTTTCCACATTCATAAGAAATCGATTGTACAGTTCGATTGTACAGTTCGTGGGGATATATTTGATTCAGCAGTATTACAGCTGTACGATGTTGTTTGTACACAAATCGGGTCATAACCAGACAGTCCAGTGATTGTCATCATGCGATACAATGACAGAGCATGTGCTTATGAATCACTATAAAATATCAATGATACTAGGTGTTCGCGACAAGGTGAGCGTATCCTGCCCCACCGGTGGCCTCTGTCATATGCTAAGTCTGGTCAATTGTTCACCTGAAATAATTCTCGGAACGTATGGTATAAGGCAAAATAGGGAGTTGCATGGGATATATTTTTGTCACTGATGTCAAATTTCGAAATATCCCCCACATGTCTACCATAAAACTTCTCGAAAGCTTTACTGACGCCTTGAATGTTGTAACAATTCCGACTATATCGCGAGCATGTGTTATAAATCACTATCAAAATAGTGATGATACTAGATGATTATATCCTGCCCAACCGATGGCAGCCGCCATAAACATAGGCAAAAGCTAGTTCACCTGAAAAGATTCGGGGACGTATGGTACTAGTCAAAATTCAGACTTGAGATTGATACCATTTTTGTAACCCTGATCGAACAACTTCAGAGCAAGAACCACATTACGCTCTTTGAAATCCTGTTAAAAGGTGCACACTTGATTGTACCTCAAAAGTTGTGGAATGTAAAACCCAAAGGCTGGAGCTGTTAAAATACTGCTCGACATGAAGGGCAAGTTGACTATACGGACATAATATTGATATTTTAATGAAAGACAGATCCAAGAGGCAATTAACACAGACTTGAACAGATTATCGGTGAGGTGAAATTGGGTTTTACGTCGTACTTGAGAATATTTCGCTCATATGACGACGTGCATGCGTGTGTATGTGTATGTGCGGCTGCTTGTACTAGCCCAGACTGAAGCTGGTTTTATAGTGCTAGCCCACTGAGATACCATGCCGCAGTGAAGCATGAATACCCCACTCAGACACATTATACTGACTCCGAGCCGACCAGTCCTTGATGTACCCATTAATGCCGAGCGCCAGGCAGGGACCAACAAGTACCATATTTTAACGTCTTTTGGTATGACGCGGTGGGGGATCGAATCCACGACCTTCCGCTCTCCACAGATTATCGACATAGACACACTCAATGTACATTTTATTAAGCATTAATTTTATAAATTGACTACTATTCAGGAAATGTGTTTGGTGTCATATTCGATAACATTGGAAAGAAGAAGTATATTCTGATTAAATAATGGTTATATGTGACAAAATGGAGAAAAGCAATTGTAAACTAAACATGCCAATTAGTGTCGCTGCACATCGCTGCCTAGCGACCGTTCACAACTGTTATTATTTTACATGTCTACAACTGATGTTTCTCCATGCCAGTGTCAACACGACACAAGTAAATATGTCACATGTCCTCAAGCATTAATCAGATTTCGAACTGGTTGGAGACGCATGTTTGATTGAAATATTACACATACTCAACACGTATGTACACTGTAAACGTGGTGTTGTTCGCCGACGTGAGCTCTTTCAATTCATATCAATTATTAACGTCTGTGTCTTGAGGGCACTCATCTGGTATGGGTGTCTCAAGGAAAGGATGCATGGCAACGATACCTTGTACACAACAGTGCAAAGTGCTGGTAATGACAATGGCGATACCTACAATCGTTTCAAAATAGTTCCACAAATAAATTAGAAAGACTTATTTAGTTCGGAAATGGCTTTTTAAACAATTCGACGATGAATCTGTCAGCTGGATTTGAGACTTTTCTGCAGTTTGGGGTTTCTGTATGATCAACAATGATGCATACGTGTTGTGATTTTCATTACAAAACCATGTCTGTACAAGTATGGCCCTGGAATGTTTAATGTTGAATTTATTGGTGAATATGAACATTCAAATGTCATTCTGCGTGTCTTACACGATTCAAGATCAATACCGAGTGTAACCTCCATGTGTCTGTATGACAGCCAGCACTCTCCTCCTCATACCCCCTATCAGCCTCCTGATCCTATGAAGGGCCAGTCAACGCCATTCCTCGTGTAAAGCAGCTTCCAATTGGGCCAGGTTCTGTACAGGAGGATCCCTTTGTTGCACATGACGACCAATCATGTCCCAGGTATGCTCTAAAGGGTTAAGACCGGGGCTCTTTCAATTCTGAGATATGTTAGGGGGTGCTTAACTAAGTTTTTTGTGTATAGTTACACGTCATGATAAAAAAAACACCTTAAGAATGCTGAACCCCATCAGAAGATATTCGGCTGAATTGGTTTGTTTTCTTATGGTATAATGATACCCCTGGTGTTACGACACGTGCGCAATTTCCTGTAATATATTTTGAAGACTCTCGGGAGATCTTATTACGAAGCATTGATGACACAGATAACATGAAACAAATACCAATTAACTGCACAAACACATAATGATCCCTCCCTCTGGCTTTGAAACCTAAACACAACATTTAGCACAGACTAAAACATATTGGGAGTCCTATCAGGAAACGCAGGGATAGATAAGGTTGACGTGAAATCTTTATGTTATGCACTGAATGTTAATGGTCCGTATGTTAGTGTTATATCAAGGTATTGTGACAGGTATGTAGTGGATTTGAAACGTATTCCCATTCTGTCCTCCGTTGTTAACATTTCGATTACAACAATGCAGAATGAGAGAATCAATACTTGTAAATCTATTGTGTTTGTTCAGGGAGATAACCACATGGTGGCCTCTTCCAGCTGCCAGCAATTACATTTTGCATGTTAACTGTGGGTTAAACTTTCGGTTTCCCTCGACTGAACTATACTATTAAAAAAAAAAGAAAAAAAAAGAAACACATAGGCGTTTTGTATCTTTTAAAATCTATTAATTACCTATTGTGTTCAAAACAATCGTCAAAATGTGTAACAAAAGTGTTGATAACATGATTTTACACAATTGCACAAGTAAAAAATCGACTTGACCTGAAAATGTTGATTTTGATGATATTTCTTACAAGGATTAAAAAGGCATCGCCACAACGCAACAAAAATCACCTTCCAGTTGAAATTGTGCAGCAAAGAGCATACAGTGTCTGGCTATAAAATCCAGATTATCGGCATTCGTTTTGAAGGAGTTTCAAGGTCATATTACTACGCCACGTCGTGACGCTGCGACAGTGAAAATCGCCATCGAAGGAAGGCACGCTGGAGATAAACAATCTTCTGTTGCCAGGCGTCTGAATGTCAGTCCAGGTACTACATTTGCGTGATCGTACTGCCACGGATGAGACCACAGCAGCCAGAATGCCTGGACTTCGGAGGATATCCGGTCAAACTGTACGGAACAGATTGAGAGAGATTGGACTGAGAGCCAGGAGACCCGACGTCGGTTCAGTGCTACGTCGTCACCATCGCGCTCAACGTCTCCGTTATCTAAAATTCTACACTTGGTTGTATAGACATTTCCTTCTTCTAAACTGATGTAAAAATTCATGTACTAAAGTCTATTTGTGGACGAGTTATACGTGTTTGAAAAATGTATACAACATTTTCGCAACAGATTTCTGGGTTATGCGTTTCTTTTTGTAATAGTATATATCTTTCAAATACAAAATGACATGTCATTTCAGCTAAATCTCATTCAGCAAGAAACCAGCAACAACTTACCTCTTGTAACACGACGTGAACGCCTTTGTCGGAACCAAACAACAGGTAATTCCATGGAAATCCTCTGTCAGTTGTAGTTGAGTTCATAATCCTATCGTGTATGACAGCATTTGAATCCGACTCATTATATGTAATGGTGAGACAAAGTAACCCTCTTGCTGTAAGTTCTTTAGATATGCTCCACGCCTCTGCAAGAGATACATAAAGCATGACAATGTGTCTTTCATAATTACCATCATAACACTTCGTCACTCCATATTGCTGAGAAGGAGGTTCTTCAAGAGTCCCTGTCTAATCCATTACAACTGAAAACTTTTGATCCAAAGACTGCGTGCATGTCGTAAGATCTGACTAAAATATGGGTCAAATGAGTGAGTGAGTTCAGTTTTAAGCCGCACTGAGCCACATTCCAGTCATATGGCAGCGGTCTGTAATTAATCGAGTCTGGACTAGACAATCCAGTGATCAACAACATGAGCATCGATCTACGCAATTAGGATACGGTGATATGTGTCAACCAAGTCGGCGAGCCTGACCACCCGATCCCGTTAGTCGGGATCCCTTTTACAATAAGCGGGGCGGTGGGGTAGCCTAGTGGTTAAAGCGTTGGCTCGTCACGCAGAAGACCCGGGTTCGAATCCCCACATGGGTACAATGTGTGAAGCCCATTTCTGGTGTCCCCCGCCGTGATGTTGCTGGAATATTGCTAAAAGCGGCGTAAAACCAAACTCAGTCAGTCAGTTTACAATAAGCATGGGTTACTGAAGACCAATTCTAACCCGGATAGTCAAGGGTTACACGTTAATATTTAATAACCCAAAGGCGTTGACTGGAAATGATTTTTTTTATAAATAAATAGTATCAATAAAACACGACCGTTTTGATACAGTTTTTGTAAGTATACCAGACTCACAATTATATCCACGAGCTCGAATTTAGCACACATCCAACCGATGACGTTAAAGCTGTTACCCGATGTAAGCACGCCATTCAATTACAATACAAATTGTCAGAAAAATCGATTCGGTATGAGTTATCAACACTATCGTTGTATTGATCACATGAATATTTTTGTTAGATGTACTTCATAAATCAACTTTTGACCGTATTAAACTATTCATACAAGGGTTTCAATTACCAATCCATCACGAAAATACCTTTGCTAATGTGTAGTACGTTCAAACTTACATTTGAATTGTTGGACGTTTATATTATATTCTGCTGTTAGAAGCAGCTGTTGAAACAAAACATAATTTGGAAAAATTAGTTCAAATAACAGCGTCATTATTGAAACAACCAAATGATCGGAATTGTTCTCTCTGTATGTGCACGAACATGGGAAGTGACAGCGACAGTAAGTACTGTATGTATTGATCTGTATGTCCTAATTGCACACACCTTCCCCCCACCACTCCCCCTCCCTGTATTAAGCTGTCGTTATGCTAATGCACGCAACAAGACACTTTGCAGGCATTCTGAATGATTAATGTTAATCAGACGAACGGAGGCATGAAGTCCATTATGGTGTTCTGGGGAACAATAGCTAAATATTGACACCATTGCAAATATAATGATACACCCACAGGTATTGTTTGCAGTGGGAATTGAAAGTTCCAACGATGACTATGCGTGGTCTAGTTAGTGGATTTGAAAGAAATTACATTTATTTACATTAACTCTCATTTTCGATTCATTGTTAACTCAAATCCTCAAAGTTTGATAGTTTGATACTATCGCAATTGTTGTATGCAGTCAAGCCTCGAGAAATGGATTTCGATTATATATGTTATAACGATGTGTGATTTTTTTGCGAATTTCTGTATATATGTGCTACTGCCCACTGGAGAATCTCTAGATATGATCTAAAAAAATAAGTAGTGAGTTTAGTTTTACGCTGCACTCAGCAATGTTCAAACTATATGATTGCGGTCTGTAAATAATCGAGGCTGGACCAGACAATCCAATGATTGCATGAACATCGATCTTCGCACTTGGGATACGATGACTCGTGTCAACCAAGTCAGCGAGCCTGACCACCCGATCCCGTTAGTCGCCTTTCACGACAAGCATGGGTTACTGAAGATTAAATCTAGCCCGGATCTTCACGGGTTCAAAAACGTAAGTGATACACGGATTTAGCTTAAGATTTCCAAAACATATACATTCATATCTTTCAGAAATACGACTATTTTAGTTTTGAGATAATTCAAAGCCTACCCTACATGTCCTGTGTATTCACTGATAGAATATGGTGGTGATGAGCTGCGTACGAAATAATCGCCGGCCCGGAGGCCCAGTGCCGGTTGTTATTGTATCGTCTTAGATGGCATGCTCATACGGATCAACATACCATACGGATATGCTTTGTGTACGGATGAACACGGTCACAGGTCTAGTTTTAAGATATGACTACCCTAGAAGTGAGCTTCACACATTGTACCAAATTATTGATGTGATCTTTGCGTTATAAAATGAAGCCATACGGTCTTATATTCCTGAAGCCAAGTTTCGTTACACGATGAAGAACTATTACCTCATTACTGCAGATAATACGTCAGTCATTGTGTGTATAATTCTGACGTGTCTGGCGTGTCTGGCATTGACACTTGTTTCGTAAAATCCATATGATATGCACTCTAATGCAATACTTTGTGTGTCTACTTTTCTTAGTACCGATCAACAATATAACAGCAAACAACTGGTCTGGCTCGTTGTTGTCAATTTTTTAATCTGCTCTTACAACGAACAAGCTACTGAACAATCTAAACTGCTGGGAATTCACTAGTTAAACACAGCTGAACACAATTGCAATTAATATTAACAAATGCATGCATGCAGAAACCTATGTCACTTTTCGTGATTGATTTGGTAATGTTAACGTCATTGGAATAAGTTACTTCTTTGTCTGATCATACTGTGAGATTCAGCCTTTCTCTTGAGTTCTCTAGAATGTGTACGAGGCAGAATATGACACTACTCAAATTAAGATAGGGACACTGAGATGGTTGTTTGTGAGACTCCGCTGAAATAAACTGCGATAGTTCAAATTGCGTACGTATGGCTAGAATAACAAATTGGTTTGGTGTTTAACAGAAATACATCTTTCAAACGTAAGGTAGTATAAATACATCAACTATGTCTACATACCATTGCTGTTATCGCCCATCACGATGACCGCTGACCACCTCAGACGTTGTATAACAGTTATGATACTCGGACTGAAGAGTAGCGCGGGGGAGAGGAAGACCTCTTCTTCTGGCTGTGGATTCGGTCGGAAACACGTGACCCTCTTCCTCTTGTGTCCGTAACGACGGAGTAAGATCTGGATAGTGCTACACGTGTCCATAGGTGCCAGAAGAACCGGTAGACTATTTATTATGTTCAATACATCTGAAACATGTGTGATTATCGTAGATGAAGATTAATGCTGGACATATTAATTCAAAGAATGTTAACGTTAAACCTTCTGGTCCTCTATACGAAGCCATTGATATTATGTGAGTTAGTTGGGCATGACGATGCCTTCAGTAATATGTCTCTTATATCAGGTTTTCCTTAAACATAGAACAGCCGTAAATCAATAAGGTCTATACGCGTACCACTTTGCTGAAATATGCAAAGACTACTAAGGTATGCTTGAGATATAGTAACAAGGTAAGTCGACGAAGTCAAAGAGCTATCTTCTCTGTCATTTTTGTCTTCATTATTTCACACATTTAATTGTTAATGTTAATGTTTTCCTTCCTGTGTGTCTTGTTCCAGTCAGTCGACTTTATTTGTAAAACACCTAACACCTAAATGTAAAACAGAATTATAAGAATGATGACTATAAAGTCTGAACCTACCGTTCCTAACGAGGACAAAGGGTTGTTCAAGGGGAACGATTATTCGTGTGAATCGCACCGTAGTTATATTGTTCAGCGCTGCTTTCATATGCATTTCATCAACGTCGTGGCTCTCAATAATACCTGCAAAAATTGTTTGATGTTTGTTGAAATTGATAGTGTGTCAATTTCTGCATACTGATTGGGTTTACATAAGAGAATGTGTGAGTTTGGTTAAATGCTGATTTGAACAGTATTTCGGTTATATCACCGGGCACCCGCTTGAAGTAGGATTAGAACCAGAAGTTATGCATGTGATGCATTTTTAGGACTTTGATGTAGATGAATCTAAAACAGAAAATAAGGGTGGATCTGAGATTTGAACCTGACCTCTACACAGAGGATTGTAATATATGTCATCGGTTATCTGTGTCACTGTGATTAAGTAAACGTGACAACACCTCTGTCCAAACACACGCAAGGGCAAATCAAGTTTTCGAAACCTGAAAATGTGAGGTGGCATATGATGTAAGTGGAAAAGGGAACTGCACCGAGCGCAGATGCACCAAATTAGGAACTGCATGTCATAAAACATTTTGTAAACTTTACAAGAGCCTCGAATGCTGCAACCATTATCCAGCAGAGTTTTCGTTATTTGAAATTGTCGAAGAAAGAGCATGTTCTACTGTACCTAACAAAAATATGTTTGTTTGTTTGTTGTTTAAGTCACATTCAGTAATATTCCAGATACTAACGGGATCGGGTGGTCAGACTCGGTTATTTGGTTGACACATGTCATCGTATCGCAATTACGTAGATGATGTTTATCACCGAATTATCCGGTCCAGATCGATTATGTACAGTTGGTTGGTTGGTTTGTTGTTAAACACAACACTCAGCAAAATTCAAGCTATATGATAGCGGTCTGTAAATAATCGAGTAAGGACCAGACAATCCAGTGATCAACAGCTAGAGCATCGATCTGCGCAATTGGGATACGATGACATGCATACCAAATCAGCGAGTCTGGCCACCCGATTCCGTTAGTCGCCCCTTACGGCAAGCATGGGTTACTGAAGATCAATTCTAACCCGGATCTTCACGGGTTTAATAAGCTTGTAAATTCCAATGTATATGAAAGGACGTGTAAGTCTGGTCATACACTTGAAAATAAGTCAGAAGCCCATGGTGCCAGACCAACCATACAGTTGGCGTATAGATAAATCGACATGCAAACACTGACAATGCAAAAAACCCAGAGAATATTATAACTTTTACAAATAGTGTTTAGAACAGGTGATACTCACAGAGCCAGAGATACATTTCCATGATTGAATATACATACATACCTATATCAACACCAGAAGTAGCAGAGGAAGCACAAAGAACGACCAGTGCCGCAACGCTCAACATCCCCATAGGAACTCCCATTACACGAGTCTTGCTGGCAGCAAAGTCCACCATGAAGTTCATGTATATTCCAACCTATAAATAAAACACCGATCCATTGTAGTGCTCAAGTTAGGTTAAGCTGTCACATAGCAAATGTGCCTACTTTGTGTGATGTATTGTTCAATATACATATGTTCCCAAAGCATTCGAGAACGTTCTTTTTTGCTATTCATGCATTCTGATAGTGTTGAGTTAATTCTGCATGAGTGAACTAATATTGTATCCAACATTCCGAAACTAGTCCACTGTGTCACTCATTTGCTGCTCACGCAATGATCCCACCAGAGGGTCGCGTGTACAGTGTTGTATTCCTTGGATAGAGTCTATGAAACACCATGACGTCTTTCAATCGTATTTTGTATTGGCGGCTGCTCTGGCACAGCGATCCAAAACATGCGACCGTCTACAGCAGCACAGTCACAACACTGATTCGTTAGCAAGTGGCGTTTTTGTTTCGATTATTTAGTCAATGTTTTCTCGTCACTATGTGTACAAGCGGACAGGCTGCGGAAAGCTTCTGCGACAGGTTGCAATTAATCTGTCACTTATGATGAGTTGACCATCCTCGTCAATATTTACTAATCTTGAAGATTAAAGAGTAGAATATGCCTAAAACTTTGTTGGAGGATATACAGATGACCCTGAAATGTCCCATCAATTCTAACGAGAAATTACATTTTAAAGATATTCTTCGTGCACACATGAAGTTACTTTTAAAACTGGAATCACTTACCTGATGGAGCATTAATGACGTCTCAGGTTTAAGGGCACTCAGACCCTCATAAATACTTTAACAGGGAATGGAATTGCTACCGATGACTGTAAATATTACAGTAAATTGGTTTGAGGATGTGGAGCATTGTTAAAAGCTGGTATAGACACTGTGTATTCATGTTGATAGATCTGTGCCACTGGTGCTTCTGTTACACAACATGGTTGATAGGAATATTGAAATTGCATCCAGTATGTAGATAGCCAACAGTCTAATTACGAAACCTAGCTGCAAACTGGTCAGCCCCTGCTCCCTCGACCGTGACAGACACGGGGACTTGGCTTCTGTCCACCTTGGCAGAATTTCTTCAACCTAATCAGTGGGACATTAGGAAGGGTGGATGACCATCAGATGCCGTTATTTGAAAATATCCCCGGTAGTTCTTGTTTGATTGTAAAACAGTATCCCAGCAGTGTACGCATATTAAGATTTACAAATGCTTGGATGGTGTAGTAAGTGATCCAATTTGATCCTATTTCTGTGTTTTTCACCTCGATATTTAATCATGTAAAAATATTATGTCTATTACGTATGTCATGATATCAAAAACACACATTTGATATATTTGAATCCATAAACTAAACACACCCAATTTTCCATTGCTAAAAAAAATCTGAAATTGTACTTAGGTACATATGTATATACAGTTTCTAAATAAGTGCACAGCAAATGTTTATATATATTTCTTATGTAACAATGAAGTTCGATCCGTTCGTATCGTCAAAGCAGTGTCGGCCCATAAGGGTTTTTTCAGACAATCAAACTTGCATGCAATACAGCGATTACTACTCTCTTGCTGTAACCCTTATTTGGTGGTAAATCTACACATGTTATTTGTCATCATTCACTTGATGGTCAGTTAATGAATTTATAACAGGTTTAATTAGTGATAACACCACTCAGATTACCCGACAAAGGTTCCCATTTGGCATTTCTTGTGTCTGAAGTAAATACTCATCATTATAAATTTAGGTCTGATGTGGCAAATGCATTACATCTTATGTAATATGCGCATGGAAGTGCAGCAAGAGGGATTATTAGCTGAGTTTCAAAACAAACATCGATCAAAGGATTAACCACTAACACGCTGATTGATTAATTGCTTTTATCCTGCACAGCGGATTTGTCAAAAGGTAGTGTTTATGTATGTAGATTCACTAATCTATACTGAATGCACCCTGTCGTAAAGTTTCTTTGTAAAAACAACGTCCTTCCTTAAAAGGATTAACCGCCAAAGCCTTGATTGGTAGCTCATTTTTGTCTAACTAATGGCGGACATCATGCAATTACTTGCCAGGTGTGCTATCTTGGGTGACCAATGGGATACACCAATGTGAAAAACCCGAAACGATAGATCACTTTTTCGCATATTAGACCGTTAAAAGACACATGACACGGAACAGGATTCTTTGTCAGCTGCAGATGAATGGCATCTCATTACTTTATGTGGATATTGATGGATACATTCTCCTAACAAGGTAATAGCCTGATATTGTTGCTATAACTTTAGTCTGTTTTAATTTTAATATTTGCATTTTGTTTTAATCTATTGTTATGCCATTGAACAGAATCATTTTTTTGCCGTGAAAGGTAATGAGACAGAAAACATACACTAGATCGCACTTAGGGCGTGTGTGTGAAATATGATACACGTCTAGATATTACAGTCATGTTATAAATTCACTAAGTATAAGCAGATCGTGTGCATTTTATTAAGTTTCAAAATGCATAGAAATATGATAATAAACTAATTAGGATTATAAGACAAAATATAAAGACGTACATTGACTTCGTTATTTCAGTGCTAACATTTTTCACCAGTGGCAGATGGTTAAACTTAAACCGTTTTCGTTTGTTGTCAAAATAATGCCATTTAATACAACATTAAGATTGACTAGTAGTGAACCCAAGCTTACTACTCTCCCCAAGAATCCCCATGTACTTTCAAACAATGCTATTATATCAGGCTTCTCACCAAGTTCAAGGTAAAACTATTTCTTAAATCAAATTCTACATCCATTTACGTTAACATTTTTATAAAGTCAACATTACTATGAAATCAAAATTTTACATCAAAATCAGCATTTTTATCAAAGTGAATATTTTTTTTACAGGAAACCAAATTATTCATCACAGTCTACATAAATTTACAACAACATCAAGATTATCGAGTAAAAAAGATTTCATCTTTGTTGATCAGTCTATACGTTTTCTATCAATTTCGCATGGTGGTTGCGCAGCAGATAGTGAAACAGTCATGAATTCTGGGATATCATCCGGGTACTCACGGGAGAAAAACATTAACAAAAGCAACAACCAGTCCACGGAAATTGCTCTGCATCAGTGGCCCTTTAAGGCTGATTCATATGACTGACAACTTTTTTTGGTTCTTCTGTACTTCTACTCTTTAAATAGTGATACTAGAGAAAGTTACGGTTCACGAGACTTTTAGCATGGTTTACTTCGAGGTATCCTAGAGTGGGTTTCAAATGCTAATGAGGTAGCCTAGTTGTTATACCGTTAGCCGAAGACCCGGGCTCGATTCCCCACATGCGTACAATGTGTGAAGCCAATTTCTTGTGTCCCTCGCTGTGATATTGTTTAAATATTGCTAAAAGCGGCGTAAAACTGAACTTTCTCACTCACTCTCAAATGATCATGAATGGAGCTGCCCCCGAATTGAATTGCTAGGCATGGCGGCCCAAAGCATAAGCTTCGAGAGAACCCACACCCCCTCCCCCACACCCCCAGCTTTGCAAAATGTGATACTATACATTATACACAGAGGCTTTCAATTATACATTTACAACAAAACCACATTTGTAATAGGATCAAGAGGTTAGACACTACTCACTCAATTCATAGTTATGCCGTTTGTTAATTCGATCGCTTTCGATACAAAGGATATTCCGATGAATGTAAATGGAAAGGCTGTGTAGAGCTATAAATGTTTCATTGCTGAATACAGGATCCAGACTCGGTGTCCCGTGTCGTTGACAGTGCTATGGTTGAACACAGAGTCTGATTGTGTTAAAGATCCATACAGCAGCACATGAAACAATCGATATCCAGGCGTTTGTTTTTGTAGACCACTGTTTGTTGAACTGCATGTTCAGCATAGACATTATTGAATATATCTGGGTTGTTACGTGTCGTACACGCATTTGTACCTCTGATTTCGTTTATAAAATCTGGCGACGGTCAGGTTAGTACTGAAATAAACTACTGGGTAAAAAGAATTTAATCCCCGCTTCACTTGACCAAAAAACATAGAAAGAAAGACTAACTGACTGACTGAGTTTGGTTTTACGTCGCTTTTAGCAATATTCCAGCAACGCGGGATTCGAACCCGGGTCTTCGGCGTGACGAGCCAACGCTTTAACCATTAGGCTATCCCACCGCCCCATAGAAAGAAAGACGTATGTGAGATTTATGATATTAATCATTTTACAAACAGAAATCGTTGTGCAATAATTTGACTGAAACTTCATTGTAATGCTGGTCTTGTATTTCATTAAGAGTCAAGGGGTCAAAATTGAAAATAACACAAATCAGAGCTCATTCAAAAAATACATAAAGAGTCACATAATAATACAGGAGTCCGGGGACACGTTGTCAATAGCGAGTGTGACCATCCTGGGCATCCATACACGCCAACACACGTCTACTGATTGACGTCGTTAGTCGGCGGATGACGTCAGCAGGAATCCTGTTCCAAGAGAGTCGGTTCAAGTTCCTGTCGTTACCCTGAAGGTAGCGCACGCTGTCTCAGCTAACGATCAAGGTGATCCCAGAGAAGTCCAATGGGGTTCATGTCTGGAGAGCGCGCTGGCCAAGGCAATACGTTGACGTTAACGTTGTGCAGTTATTCTCGAACAATTCTGGCGATGTGAGGTCTTGCGTTGCCATGGCTCTCAAGGTCTCCCGATCTAAACTCCTTCGAATATATATGGCATGCTCTGATCAAGGTCTGCGATCACGTCCACAACAGACACAGAACCTCCAGCAGTTGGTACAAGCACGGCCGAAATTTCCAAGGCCACAATTCGTAAACTGATTGGCTCCATGGGGCGACGATGCCAGTCAGGTTTGGACTCTAGTGGGACCATACAAGATAATCAGAACGGATGATCTTCACCTTTAAATTCGATTCTGTCATGTTGGCTGTGAAGAACCTCGGCCTGCAGAGACAATGGCCTGTACCAAATTTGAACTTTATATCATGATCTTTTGATTATTAATTAGATATAATCTGAAAACCACTTTCGCGTTTCGTTTTTGCAGTGTATATTTATTAAATCGCATTAAATAGCATTAATTAATCGTATCTGTTGTCTGTTGGCATTATTCCTTGCAAAATAACTAACAGTGTTCTTCATCTACTGACAGTATTTCCTTACCAACCAACAGGAATTTCTTCATCAACCGACAAAGTTCTTTCACCACTCTGCATTGTTTTTACACCGGCTTGCAGTATTCTTTCAGTTACCAATATAGATCTGTCACCCACCTACATTTTTTATTTCCAACCAATATATGTTTTTCACATAGCATTCTTTCACCAACCTACATTGTTCCTTCACCAACCTACTTTCTTCTTTCACCAACCTACATTGTTCTTTCACCAACCTAC